TTTTAAGGTGTATTATTAGATGATTTGTTCTGAAACAAATGGTCATCATCATATAACTGATTTTCATACTTATATATCGCCTTAATTTCAAAGAGTACAAGTAAATCGAATTTAACCCCAAAAATTGATTTGTTTAATTTGAACTGATTTGAACATTAACATAAGCTAAATATTAATCTTAGCTAGTTTTATGTCATCCCCTTGAACTATTCTTGTTGTCCATGTTAATAGATTATAAATGGTTAAATGGTAGTATAAATAGTTACGTATAGTTATTTAACCCTGCAACGAATTATAGAAATAAACCTGGTTTAATGGCTAGTTAATAAATAGGGTATGCTTACGTTTTTTAGACACTGTAACCTCTTCCATTAGATTTTTTACTTTTAATGAACTTGATTAATACACTAGTAAATTTTAGTGGTCCATTTGAATAATTGTTTAAGTGCATATATTCCATGTAACTTCTCTTTCTCTTCTTTAATATGCAAGGCAAAACATACTGTTAAATATCTTTTCAAGACTTTTGTGGACCTCCTTGTTGTAAGGCAATTTCAGTAAGTGTGCCAAAAATTGTCTAACAATCACGATTTGTAGATAGTTTATTTGTGGAAACTTCGAGGACAATTTTACAATGTTTTTTTATTAATATATTTAGACGTGTAACTTTAAAACTTTTTATACAACTATTAATTTGCCATTATTTAACACCAAGTACATACTATAAGGATACTGTAAAATGTCCATATTTCTCTCAAAAATATAACTGAGTGAAAATACACATTAATCTTCATCATGAAATTCTATATGTATTTTAAAAGTATGCATGTGCATGGTTAAAGATCTATCTTTTTTTGTTTAATATAAAATGGCTCTTCATATGGTCAATTCAGCAACCCAACCCCCCCTCTTTGTTACTGGAAAAGCAAATTTGTTTTTTCATGACTTCAGCATGTTACACAACTCATGGGTTATTCTTATATTCAGACAGACATCTAGCCGCCTTGTCCATGTGCTTCCGTTATTGCAACACACTAACTTTGGCTCAAGTGTGGAGGACGTTTAGTACTCAAAAGCATACAAAAGTTAAGCCTGCAAGAAAGAAAGAAACATAGGTTATGATTAATTTAAAATGATTAATATAAAAAAATCGCCTCGGATAATTTCTCTAACATGATCCTCAACCTTCATTCATCAGATTAATTTGACATGCTTACATCAACCAATTATAAGTCTTACAGTGAGTAAAGTAGTACAGGTGCATCTCAATAAATTAGAATGTCGTGGAAAAGTTGCACCTGCAGTTGCTGGTAACATAAGCTTAAGCAACGGTCAAAAACATTACCAATACAGTGCGAAAGAATTTCTAACAGAGTCTAACAATCTAATCTATTGTTGATAAATTGTGCTTTAATGCCACCTGATATCTCTCTGATTTTTTGTGTTAGCCAATACTAAGTTATATTCCTTCCATCAGCATCCTATACTGGAATGAAAATACAACACATTTTCCCAATTTTACCAGATGCACATACCATCTTCTCCCAACATTCTATCCAGAGTCATCCTATTTTCAAAATTCACAACAAAAGAATTTGATAATTTTTACAGATTCCAAATCTTGTTTTCAAGCTATGGAAAATTAAAAACGGAATAAATTGCAATTTAACTATAGTAGACCTTTCACAGTCAATTTTTAGTATTATCTTCTTCTGGATTTTGGGTCATATTGGACTATTAGGAAATGAACAAGTTGATACTGTTGCAAAGGAAGCTGTCAGTTTGGGTACAAATTGTCAAATGTTTCTCACAGACTTGCTCTGAATTCTTACATAATAAGCAAATGGCAAGAAGAATGGGACACATGTACAGATTACATGAAATTCATCCTAAAATTTCTAACAGACTTTTATTCCCTTTCAAAGCATTCAAATGTTGTTTAGGACATTTAAGAAATTTGTTCTCAACAATTAACCAACTTAACTCTGTTTTCTCCATGTTTTACAAACTGGGACTTATCACCAGATAATTTCTCAAGCACTCTTTATTCAGTAGCATAGGCCTTTTAACCCGAAAAACTGCTCAACTTACTTTGCTCATGTTAACAGTAACAAGACAATATTTCATATTTTTGACCGAATCAGTTCTATGAATTCCATTATGACATGCTGAAATGTTATAAAAGAAAGTGAGGTGTGGGGTGGACAGAGCAAGCTTGCTTGCTTTGACTTCCCATGTTATACGCTGCGCAAATGTGGCCCTGTTTTATTTCTTCCACAACAATAACCTTGGTACTGACCAGGATACTTAATCTAATTTATCCATGGCCAGTATTTTATTAGGCATATTCTGCCTTGTGTGCCCACTTAATAAATTTTAGATACAGCTGTTTTGATGGAATGATTTATTTGCCTTAGTGTCTCTTCGAACACTATCTCTCATTTCATACAACACCATCACACACTTTCACTTCCCCCCCTCTGGCCAGAGCATCATCAATTTTTGTCTGCCTCAGCAGATTGTGAACTGAATGGGAAATGAGATATGTATTGTGTGTGGAATACCACTAAATCTTAACGGGCAACACAACTTTTGGCAGATGCTACTGAAGACTGTGCACTGTAAAACATTTTCACCCCTTTCAACTTAAAAACGAAAGTTTTGTGGCTGCCTTAAAATTTTAAGTTAAATCAACTTAAAAGTACAAGTCATTTCAACTCACTAATTTAAATCTTGCCTAGTGCCGAATTGTTTTATTGAAGTTCATTTGACTTTTAAGACCTTTGTTCATCTTCAGAACACAAATGAGGATATTTTTGATGAAATTCGAGAGCTTTCTGACCCTCCATTGGCAGCAACGCAACTAAAACATTCAAGGTCCAGAATGGTAGAAAGACATCATTAAAGTAATCCATGTGACTCCTGTGGTTTAACCTCAATTTTATGAAGCAATGCACGTGCTGTGTTTGTGCAAAAAACACATTTTACAGCTTTATTTTCTAAAAATATTGATCTGCCACATACGCTCATAAGAGCATCATGACGCATGTATGTTGTGTTCACGCTAGAGTTGACATTGTAGCATGAACAAGCTTTGACACATGGATTACTTTAATGATGTCTTTCCTACCGTTCTGGACCTTGAATGTTTTAGTTGCGTTGCTGCCAATGGGGGAACAGAAAGCCCTCGGATTTCATCAAAAATATTTTTGTTTGTTCTGAAGATGAACAAAGGTCTTACAGGTGTGGAACGACATGAGCGTGAGTAATTAATGACAGCATTTTCATTTTTGGGTGAACTATTCCTTTAATAGGTCAAACCACACTGACCGGTGGATCTGCATCTCCAATTGCAGCGAAATCGTTTCCTCACTCAGGACGCGTCCTGGGAAAATGGCACGTATGGTCACCCTAGCCTATACGATACAAAATGTATGCGTATACAGCTAAAAGCGTCTCCGTGTGGACGGGGCCTATTCTTTCAGGAGGGAAGCTGAAGGCCCATCAGCTACTTTCTCTTCTCTCTGAAACCGGGTTTCTGCTTCTCTCCCGCTCCAGTCTATTCGTATTCATTCCCATTTATCAAGGAGCCTGTTCCAGAAGTTGCCCGGTCATAGCTAAAATCTGAAAACTCAGAGAACCACATGAATCAAATTGATCCTTTGTAAATTCTGACCACAGTTGTGTCTGAGCAATCAGCTCTTTATTTAAATTACACTTTTTGACTTTTTAAATTCTCTTTCGATGGTCTGTTAATTTCGTTTTAATTTCATTTTCGTGGTTGAGCAGCAGTTCCCCATTCTATTTTTATAAAGCAAGTTCTTCTTTGCAGTGAAAGAGCAAGCAATTTCTTCTTTGCAAAAAACAGAAAACAGCAGTCAACTCTAATTAATATAGAATATGGTGTATAATGTAATAGCAACGAATTCTTTGTCTTTTTCTCTTTTACTAGAAACTAAAATTACTGTGAGATGTCTGTTATGTGTCTGTTCAAATCAAACTTTCTATTTAAGTTGGTCACTTGATCTCATTCAACACAATACACAAGAGTTACCTTAGTTAACATAAACCAAAATCGTAGAATCTCTGCAACGGATCAACTTTTCATACCATCTCCCAGGGATAACGGGATACAAATTCTAGTCATCTTCAGATACAGAGTATAATATTTAAACGTGTTGTTATTATCTTACTATTTATTCATCACTTTAGAGGACTCGTTCCTCAAATTGATGTATGGTCCATAACCCATCTGAGCCAATACATACATAATTCTAATTCCATCCCATAAAAATTTGTCCATGACTCAAAATTGCATAATTCTCACAGAGGGCTTCACAGGGGCATGTCCTATTATTTAATGTTTTATTTATAAATGTAAAAAATGTATAAATCTCAGGATAACAATGATCTTTTTCAATTCTTTTAACAATTCTCTCTTGATTTTTATTTTCAGTCATGCTTTTAATTCATCACCTTGATTAAATTCTCTTATTGCAAGAGCAAGTTGTAGTACTACAGCCTGCTTTTGGGATAATTGCCCTGCCGAATATAGTGACAGCATTCCGTTAAGACGCTGCTATCACTACCTACCTAAATTACCAGGCGAGTGTCAGATCTCTAGCATCTATACATCACTCCCTCATATGAGCGTAGAATCTTTAGCACTTATAATTCTAAGCTGCAGCATAGGTTGCTCTTTGCAGGAACAAAGTTTTATTGACAGCTTGTGATTGTTAATCACAACAGAGAAGTACATTTTTCATTTTTGGTATAAATTCCCCTATGCACCTTACTTAAGTTAAACCAAAGGTTTCCCAACAACAAAATTATCCTCAGGTGACTTCTTTTACCACACTGGAGATCAAGACGTTAGACAATTCAGTTAGGAATTACTGTTACCCATCGCCTAAGAGTATCAACTATCACTCGGAACTAAGATCTCTAGTGTTCCACTACACCTTCTGTATACCTGCAGTAACCAGACAGACTAAAGACAATGCCTTTAGATATGATTTAATCACGGCCAAGAGGACCTCATACCAATCACAGAGAATCCTCATGACAAAAAGAATACAACAGTTTATATTGCATATGTGCATGGCAAAGATGACATTGATTCATTACATATTTTTTGTCTAATATTATTGGCTCTTCATATGAAGACCTGGCAAAGCAAATTTGTTTTTTGGTTACTTTTTTTTAATTTCATTTATTTGTACAGGCATACAAATGTTAAGCCTGCAAGAAAAGAAACATGTTACATTTAATATATACTGTATATATATTAAATGTAACATGTGAAGGATTTTTTTTTTTTTTAAATGGCCAGTTGCAATTGTCCTTGATCCTTTTTACATCTCAGATGCATCCAAGACATCCAATTTGTTGCTGTTCATTTCCTGATTTTTGGAACATTGCATGTGCTGACCCAGTACGATGAATATTCACTGACAGGGAACATTTCTCCATCCTTTTTTTTATCTGCAATGAGAACAGTAAGAACCTTTTAGTGCAGGAATATCTTGACAACAAACAGCATGGATCATCATGGTGTTCTGTGAATGTAGGAGGTTTATGTCCCCATGGACTAATATAGTAATATGTGATTGACCTCTTCCGTTTGTTTGAGAAGTAAACATCGTTCCATGGTTCCTTTACAGTCAATACAGGAAAACTGAGGCTGAGAAAAATACCATAGAAATGTGTGAAACTGTCAGTTTTTCTACAATGACTTCTACATTTAGACAATTCTTCTCTGATAGTGAATACTTACTGGCTTATTGTGAAGGCTACATTCTTTCCGATGGACACTCGGTGTTGTGCGGTTACATGAGGTGGGTCTCAGTACCACATTGACCATATTGTTATTCTGTCACAGATATACGTACATGTAACTCTAGCATAAAAACTAGCAACCAAATATACATGTAGAAGAAGCTTACTTTTTTATGGAATACTTTAAGTACATGCACAGAAAACAAATAATCAAAACAAACCCACAAATTACAGAGTATGAATGAAATAACTTACTTGATTGACAATGGTGAAAAAGTCAAGGTGTTTGCCGTTTCCATAATCCTTATTGGCTTGTGCTATTGCCTTGTCAACAATTTTTCTATCATCATCATTTAACTTATCATATATCATTCCCTTTGCCTTTGTTGACTCCAGCAGCAACAGAGTGTTAAGCAGGAACAGTAAGCCTCTCATCTTGACCAGTAACGGAAGTGCTGTGCTGTTTGCCTGATGTGTTTCAGAATCAGTTACTGGTGTCAGGTCTACACAGATCACAACAGCTGTGATTGGTTTGCTTTGTAAGCAGAGGCCCTCCCCTAAGATGATGGAAAAAAAAAAAAAGGATTTCTGCAGGTTTTAACTTTAAGGTAAATGTAAGTCATTAAGCACTTTTTAAAGATCAAGTAAAGAAAAAAAAAAACATCTGGAATAAAAGGGAACGAAATGTGTCTACATATTTTCTCTAAATGTACGAGTTGTATTTATAGCAACATTTCAAAGTTTCAAAAGAAAAAAAAGAATTTAGTTAAACATACAGTGGTGGCCAAAATGATTAAACATTAGAATTTTCACCAGCTAAAAAATGGTTTCAAGTCAGTTATTTATATATTTTGCTGTAGTGTGTCAGTATATCAGTTTACATGTCGAAACATTCATTTTGCCATTAATTGTAATAATCCAGTGAGATTTTTGTTTGCACAAGGAGTCTGACAACAGAGATCTGATCTCAACCATCATCAGTCCGTCTGGAATGACATGAAGAAACAGAAAAACCTGAGACAGACTAAATCCAGAAGAACTGTGGCAATGTCTCCAAAGACGCTTCAAGAAACCTTCCTGCAAAGCTCCAGTACTGTTAAATGTTTTAGGCACTTGTGTAAAAATGCTGTAAAGTGAGGATGCTTTCAAAAATAATGTCATAAATAGATTCTCTTTATCAATTAACTTCTATTAACTAAATTAAATCAACATTCGGTGTGACCACCCTTTGCGTTTAAAGCAGCTTTTGCCCTAGGTGCACTTGTGCAGTTTTTCAGCTAGCTTTGCAGGTAGGTCTCTTGAAGCATCTTGGAGACGTTGCCACAGTTCTTCTGGATTTAGTCTGTCTCAGTTTGACTCGGTTTCTTCATGTCATTCCAGACGGACTGATGATGGTGAGATCAGATCTCTGTGTGGAGCACTGGCTGTTATTAGACTTGTGCAAAAAACAAAAAAAAAACTAGCAGTGCAAAGAACATTTCCCCAACTGACCTACATTTCTAAACCACAGTATTTAGAAAAGATGTAAAAATGACCAAATTAACATAAAACATCCTATCTATAATCACCAAACAACAACCTTTAACATCTCTTAAAATGTATCAAATGTTTTTAAAACCTTTATTAATACCGGTAATTTATTCCATGCAATTGCACTTCTTTTTTATAATCCCCATAAATCAGAAGCAGTGTCTGGAAAATCTAGTAGCCCCTCACTGCAGAACAAAGATCCAGGGGGCGGGGTTGGATCCACATCTAGGGGGTGGAGGGGGTAGGTTTAGGGGTGGAGATGGGTGGGTTTAGGGATCAGGGGGTGGAGACGGGTAGGTTTAGGTATATGTAAGGTGGGAGGAGTTGGATCTGGATCCAACCTCGCCCCCTGGATCTTGTGTTCTGCAGTGAGGACCATCAGAAAATACGCTGTTTCAGATTTTCCCGCTTATGACTGGTGACGATCTGCCCTATTCGCATGAACCCCGCCCTGACTGAACCGCACATAGTCGGCCATGTTTATATCGTCGCAATAGCGCCTATTTACATACTGTCTGCGCCACATAAGCCTTACAAATGTACAAATAAAGAGTATCCAAAGACTCACAGCATCTGAGCCACGGAGCACGTTGTGGATGAATATCATTTATGGAAGGAAATGTGCCAAAGTTACATATATTTGTGCAAATCATTTTATGCCTGACTGCTTCGTAAACAAGGGTCAGTTCAACAGAGGATTTGCACAGAAGCTGATTCTGGAAAGATGTCTCAATACCAGCTGTTCATGCTCAAACATCATAACCTGAACAAGAAAGACTAGCCTCATATTTTCTGAATGTTTTCAAATCACGTTTTCGGATATGCTTGTTAGCATGCTGTACAGCTGTGACTAAAACTACCACTGTCTCTGACTGTATTCACAGAGAGCAGAGCTAGGTCTTAGATTTATCCCGGAAACGATCCCTCTCTGCAGATTTCATAAATAATTTCTGACACTTTGGCTGCGTGAGATCCTCCAGTTTTGTTGTTGACGAACTATCTGAAGTGCTAGATGTAAAGGCCCCGCCCTCTTCTGGTAAAGGGGCAGAAGCAGCAGCTCATTTGCATTTAAAGGTACACCCACCCAAAGAGGGGCAAATTTGACACGCTATAATAAAAGATCTGTGGGATATTTTGAGCTGAAACTTCAGACACATTCTGGGGACACCAGAGACTTATTACATATTGTAAAAAGGGAATAATAGGTCCCCTTTAAAAATATTTTTTTCCCCCAACTGATATACAGGCTTAAAATCTTGAAAATGAAAGAGGATTATTTTTTTTTAACATTATTCAAACTTATTTTGAGCCTTCTGCAATTTATCTTTCGTACTCTGCGGACACCTGTCCAAATAAAAGGCTGCATAATCAAAGTGTGGTTGTATAAAATAGTGATGTATTAGTCAGTGTAAAAAAAAAAAAAAATCCTCAAGCCACAACCTTAGGGTTTATTTGATGCTCCTGATGTTTACCATGTTTTCCTGCTTTCAAAGTACAAGTTTATACGTCACCCCTGATAAAACATTCAATGTTTGATTTTGAGTCAATGTTGATGAACTCAAAGCAACATATGCAAATATTACCCTTGACTCATGGCTACATTTGTATTCACCATTTATACCATGTTTATTTAACTTTATTACACTTTAACCATAATTCCAGTTACTCTTCTAAACAGAGGACAATAATCACAAAAACAACCACTGTTTAAGTGCATTTCAAAACGATGAGCTTCCATACAATTTCATAAAGAGATAAGTCTGAAACAGACCCAAGTGTCATATTTGAAGAATTTATTGTTCATTTGAAACCAAGAGCATCATAACAGGCTAATGACAATATTTTAAACAATAAGAGGGGGAGGGGGGGCGGGGAGGAGGGAGGGGGAGATGACAAAGCAACTGAATTTGAAGAACATCTGATGGAATGGGAAGTAAACTAATGACCCAAAAAAGGAGGGAAGGAGAGGGGGCATTCAGTCGTTCACATTAACGTACAGCAATAATAAAAAAAATATTCATGAGCATTTCCTTGCCTCTGTCCCAAGAAGGGATCATTAATAATATTAATATCAACATCGATAAAAAATAATTACAAGTTATAAAGAGAAGCCAGTACCACTGGGAAGAGTGGCTGGCGGCTGTTTCTGTATAAGTGAGAAAGAGGAAAGGGAGAGATGGAGAGAGGAGAAAAGGTTATGAAGGGCAGTATGTATTTTTGACAGTCTATGCAGAGAGATCACTGTTCTCAAACCGTTCCTGATCATACACCTCAGCGATGACCTTGCGACCTCCGAACCAGCGGTTGTTGAGTGCCTGAATGGCCTTGTTCATCTCTGATGCCGCTGAAAACTCAACAAAGATCTTGACAATGACTTCAGCATCCTCCTCCTCGCCCTGCTTCTCCTGATAGATGATCACTCTATTAACGGCTCCAAACTTCCCACATTCCTCCGTTACTTCTCCTTCCAGATCGTCATCTATGTCCTCAGGTCCAACCATGTTCCTGAGCACCATAACCGTAGTCTGTGGACAGAGCATACAAAAAAGTGTTTAAATGTCACTGCTCTACAACATTCAAAAGTAAAAACAATTATTCAGAAGGATGCATTTTATTGGTCAAAAGACTTTTATAATGTTACAAAAGATTTCTTATTTAAATAAATGCAGTTTAATCAAAGAATCTTGGAAAAAGAAAAATGTTTCCACAAATTAAGCAGCACATCTGTTTTCAATATTGATAAATGTTTCTTGTGCACCAAATCAGCACATTAAGATGATTTCTGAAGGATAATGTGATTCTGATGACTAGAGTAATGGCTGCTGCAAAATCAGCTGTCACCACAGGAATAAATTACATTTTAAAATATATTAAAATAGAAACAGGGCTCTACAGTCACACCAAAATTACTGCATGCTACTGTGAAAAAATATTTAAGAGCACCTGTGCAACTCATCAGGGGCTCAGTAATAGCATATTGGCGGAACAGATTTTCCAAACACGTGTACTGGTGTTTGCACTCTGGAGAGCATCAACAGTTTCTATCCACAACGTGTTTTGGCAGTGTTAAGCAATGTAGCCCATCACAGATATATCTGTTGATTTCTTGAATGCAATGGCCAATCTGGGGCCCGTTCTTCGTATGTTGCTAACTCAGTTAGCTGGATTTAATTGTTGACGATTTGGCATGATCTTGGATTATTTGGTTCTTTGAAGCTCATCCCAGAGTTGCTGTCATAGCAACAGGTCCGTAAGCTTAAACCTGCTCGGGAGCAGGCTTATTTCATGTACACAGGATTAGATCGATTTTAAGCAGAATTGATACTTAAAATCTGTCCCAGCCACCGCTACTTTATTACAAGAGTACCCTACTAATCCAGGGACAATAATTTAAAATAATAATCATTTAAAAATTAATTTAAAGATAATATAATAATGTTGTGTAGTAGTGTTGTCAAAAGACCTGGTATTTCGGTACCAAGTCGGTACTAAAAAAAATGAAAACGTTACGGTACCAGGTTTTCTTAAGTACCGGTTCTTGATGCGCCATCAGAAAACTATCCTCTTCCAGTGTTGCCAAGTCCGCAGTTTTCCCGCGGAATTGGGCTGCTTTAACATTGTTGCCGCGGGTTGTTTTTCATGTCCGCGGGTTGAAAAACGACCCCATTAACGTGATATTTAGCCCCTGGAATGCGAATTTTACCAGGGGAACCCCGCCAAAACATGCGTATTTTATCCCCGGAATGCGATTTTTAACGGGGGACTTCCTCGAAATGCGATTGGGCGGGTTTTGTTGTGAAAACCTGGCAACCTCTTCGTAAAAGCAGTGGCGACCTCAAGAGGAGGAAGAGCATCAAACTAACAAAACACCCC